GAAAGCACGCAGTGACGACTTTGGGGGCGTTGGTTTTGTTGCGTGTTGTCACTGCAGTGCTACGCCTGTTAGCAACTTGGACACAGCATCATAGCATCATCTCGCAGGCTGTATCTTTGCATTCATGTCCACCCTCACACAGGTTGAAAGAAGTCCTTGAATTGAATACATTTAGATTATGGCTGTAGCAGAAACATTTAGCCGCTTTCCGTGGAAAGCACCAGGTTCTCTCTTTATGCTCTTATTTCTTCTAGTTTAAGTTCCTGGATAGACGAGAATAGGAAGCCTTGCAGATAGACAGAAATAGGAAGCTGCAAATGTATTTAAAAAAAAAGAAAAGAAATCTATATTTTCCATGCAGCAAAACCACAGAATACAACTTTGCTGTATAAATGTGTTACGTTAGATTTTACTAGTTTTTGCATAATTTTGTTATGGTTTAGGAAATACCTAAATATGCTTGCTGACAGAATTGATTAAAAGACTTGAGTACATATTTGACAGCCAGGTTTCCCATGATGTTGTCAAGAAAAAAACAACAACCCACTGCTGAACTTTTTTGTGGACTCAAGTTCTCAAGACTACTCAAAACATGTTGCAGTGATACTTAGCTGCAGTGCTCCACAGTTATCCTCATGATTTTCCTGCAGTGTGCAGAGGGAACGAACTGGAAAGCTGCAGGGGAAGGACTCTATGTTATTGATTGACAGTATGGGGCTGACCAGCTATAGGTGCTAGAGCTTTTTTCCTTTGCTGCGTGCACTCACTGACTTGATAGTGTAAATTGCGACACGGTCATTCCAGGTATGCGTGTCTAGTTCAGAATCTGGTATTGCACATTCGCTTTATCTCTGTGTTTGGATATTTTTCTGTTCAAATATTTTTCTTAGCACCTCCTTGCATCTACCGCTCTGTCTCCTCTCCTCTCTCTTTTTTCTGCTGGCCAGACTACTGCAGAGCTCTTACAGAAAAGAAGCATAGTGAGATATGGCACTGCATCATAATGCCTCAAACATGCACTTATCACTCGCTACACCTCGCGTCTCCTCACCTGTTTTGAAGCTTCGACTGCGCATCCCTTTGGGTTTATTGAGCCTGCAACAAACCATGTTGTGATGTGTTGTGATTGTCAGGACTGTATAAACTGCTGGGACTTCTTTGCTGTTTGTCACCTTAAGACCACAGAAGACTTTTAAGTAAGAATGCAAAATGTTAAACTGCAGTAGATGTCGTGTTTGCGCTCTCAGTTCTTGGGCATACGCAGTCACTCATCAAGCCCGGTGGAGTCGGCCAGGCTGTGGCTAGCGCTGACCTTCAGCAGCGTTACTTCATGCATCAGTGTGAGGGTGACTGTGCATCTGTGGGGGTTTTGCTCAGAGCTTTGTTGCTGGTTTACCTCATGTTTGCACTTCAAGACTTGTTTGTACTAACATAAGGCAGGTGCAGGTGCAGATGCATGAGCACACGGACATGCCCGAAAACAAAATCTGTATTAGAGTGAGGATGGTAAGGGCAAAGACTGGTTCCCAAGCAGGTTGGCTGTGCACAAAACACTGCTGCTTACCCTTCTGCTGTATTCTCCTCTCGCCTCAAGCCCACCATAGTACATTAAAGAGATGTATGATTTCAGCCTTATCTTGTACCAAGTGTTCTGGTCAGATACTGATGTTAAATTTGACAGTTGAGATACCGATCTGTTTTTGTTATTCTTTATTCGTCCAAGAATAAAACTAAGTAAATTTACATGATATATTAAAAAAGGGTAGCTGCACTGTTTTAAAGAGTTTGAAATCTTAATCAGGGTTTCTTTAGCAAACTTAAAGTTGATCCAACACAATAGATAAGACACCAACCCTCACTTGTAGATTTGCCCGCATGTTAAAGTCGGTCAACAAGGCCAATACTGTTGCTTTATCAACACTGGTCAGTACTGATTGTCCACTGTTGGTATCAGTGTGTTAGCGAAGAATTTTCCACAGCGGTGCAGTCAGAAATTGGTTTTCACAGGGATTGTTCATCTAAATTACAAAACACATTTCCCCACTAACCCCTGGTACTAGCAACCAATGTGCTAATACCTAGCTAATACTAGGTATTAGCTATGCAGATTGGTTGCTTAGGATATGAGTGCTGCTTTATTCAAAATTTGAGTTGTTCAAAAGTACTGCATCTTTCTAGATGCTGTGATCTAATTTCACAGTGCAGACCCATCAAGCCTGGGCAAACGTATTCCAAAGCATCTGCTAAAAGTTAGGGAAACTAATCCTTTACTTATAATGTGACTGAAGAAGGTAGGAAAAAAGTATCATTGTGCTTATAGCTCCACAAATTAAACTCGGTCCAGATCAGATTTCGAGAGCTTTGTCGATGTCTTTTTTTTATTTCCTTTTTTTTCATATTTTGCATATTAAATATCTTTATTTTTGTCTTTTTAAAAAAACTGTAATAAAAGACACAGTATTGCACATAATAAATCAATTGCACTTCTTTAAGATACAGATAAACATCTAGTTCTCTCTTGATGCTACAGTATAACTACGGAAAGAAACCAACCTAGCATATACAAGAGTGAAGTTGTGAAATATATGTAACTAACAAAATGCAGCATGTTGGAGCTTGTGAAGGTCAAGCCAGTGATAGCTAGTAGTTTGCTGGATATTGTTGTTGTACATTTTTTATGTCCTTGAAACCACTTTGGCATATTTCCTGTCTTCTAGGGCAGTGGTTGTGTCTTTTAGAGTGATCAGCTATTACGTTTTTGTTTTTTCTCTTTAGATATTGGCTGTTATCCCACACTTGAAAAGTTTTTTAGCACTATTTGATATTGTGTAATATATATTTACATACAGTGATGTGAGTAAGTAAGAACATCCCATGGAAACTGATTACTTGTTTAAATATCTGGACCAGCACACACTAGATCCTCTTTGAATTGAAATGGCTCCTACAGATAAAGGTAGTATACTTAAAGAACATGATAACCAAAAACATACAATAAAATATAAAGTAATATGTTGTTATCTGTTTAAACACAAGTACATCCTCAGCCTTAAGAAACTAGAGTTGCCATCGGCCGGACAGGCCGAGTCTGGTCAGTATATCCTGGGCAACCGTTGCTCACTAGGAAAAAGTGTCTATTCTGAAGGTTGCTGGCAGCTGCTAGCGTGAAATTGGTCACGGTGCATGGAGATATGCAGTGCTGCACCAAAACCCTCTTTGTGATTGGTCACTTTCAGGTTGCCGCGGTCGCTTACTGTGCATGGAAGACGCCGACTTGGCTGTAAAGACTTGAAAAACGTCTTGCCAAGCAGTAATAAAACTGTGAAAAGTGTGGCACAAACTGGAAAGAGGCCATTTGATTTCAAAGTAAAAGTTGTGCCTTTTGAAATGTTTTGGTTGTTGGTTCAGGAAATAGACTTTACCAAGTGTCGGGCAGCAACTTCCAGCGAGCAGTCATCAGCAAGTCAAAGAATACACACTGTTCCCTAGCGATTGGAGGGGGGGGTTGCGGACTGGTTTCTAGACCTGGGTCAGCAAGGCAGTAATCATCTAAAAGTCTTTGAATTACTGAAATTTTTGCCAAATCGTCAATGAACAATATTTGATGTTTGAACTTGTTCTGCCTGTTTCACATTCTTCAGTAAGATTAAAGACCATTTCCATACACTTTATGTATACTTTTTCAGGTCCACTTCTAGTTCAGCTTCAACTTTCATTCATGTATCTTCAAATACTCCTTTAAAATTCTTTGATATAATAAAGAATTCACACTTGAGAAAATGTGAGCTGCCCAGTCCCAGCAAGCAAAGTGTCCTCGAAGCATAACGACCCGCATTCACATATTGTAAAAGGCTTTTCTCTTCAAAAATGTTCTCTCTACTGTTGTGGCCAAACAGCTCTCTTGACATATCTCTCATGCATGTCATGATTGTAGACATGAGCACTTCAACGCTGCAAGAGTTAAAATTTAGTGGTTCTCATAGACTGCTCAGAGATTGTTGCTTTGTGGCACCTTAATCAACATACCCTCACAAAGCCTGTGTAGGGTCTAATCACTGACAACAAACCCGGAAGCCCAAATTGTTTTGGTGTGTTAATAGAAAGTAAATTCGACCGATTTGCACTTGGGTGTGTGCATGTATGTTTCTGTTTCTTTTTTTTAAATTTCAGATTAGCACCTTTGTTAATGAGCACTATTTCAAAGAGGATAAAATGTTTGTCCGTCCATATCCGTCCAAAACCGAATCATTCTTATCGAATGTTCTCACTTTTTCACATGAAGGTGTAGTAAATGTTTTGGCTGTATGTAATTGTTGAACCCGCTGTGGAGTTACTGCACATGGTTTTTACTTTACAGTCGAATAGATGCAAAGCAATGAGCAGGAACTAATTATAACAATAATAAAGGGAAATTGGGGGGGAGATTTTGTCAATCTCATTAAAAATTGTTTTAAAAGCTAGAAAATATCCTGCAAAGTTCAAAGGTTGTAAAAAGCATGCAAGGCTATAAGCCTGCCACCCTGCACTGTAGAAGCCCTGGTTGTGATCAGAAGTGGCACATTCAGTTTCTCTGGCTTGGTTTCAGTAGCTATTATAGTAGCTGATACAGGATACTGCAGCAATACAATCAAAGCTATCCTCTGATACCCTTCGCGTGTGCTGAAAACCAACTGTTTATTATAGTTGGTTTCGTAACAGTTTTCTCTGTGTGTCTATGCTTTTATACCAATGAATGGGTTTTTGTCTTTTCTTGGTGTTTAATGACCATATGCATACGTGAGGTTAGTACGAACTTTGCGATGCATGGAAACGAGTTGAGAATTGTAAAATGATCGACTTCCTTTTGCACTGTAGTGTTTGAACTGCACAGCTCCCGTCACTGCAGCTCAAATAAATACATTTTGCTAAATCTTAAAGTGAATGTATATAGATATATTTATATAGAAAAAAGTACATTGATGTTTAACTTTGCAAATATTAAGAAAATAAGTGTTCTTTTTCTTTTGTTTTGTTTTGTTTTTTTTCTTCAAAGTCAGTGGATTCAAGGAGACATTTTAGCGATGGATAAAAAGTTGACTGTAGAATTCCAATAAACATCTCTGATATTTTGTCCTTTAGGTCTCTTCTTTATATAGATATGAAAGTCTTCGCTCTGCATGGTTAGTAGACAATCTACATATGTGAGTTATTACTCAAAATAGGTCTTTTTAATTATTCTGGAGAAAATGTATCCTGAACAGTTCTAATTGTGCTTTGCAGTACAGTGATATGCTGTTTATGGAGGCCTCAGAGCATTATGGTTGATCTGCCAACCTCTCCTGGAGGCTGGGAAGAAAGTCCCAACTGATGAATGGAAATGTGAAGGGCACAGAACCATTACAGAACAGAACCCCGTTGACGTCAGCTAGAAGAAGAAAAAATATATATGCAAATAGACATCGGGAAATCAAATTCATCTTCTCACCTTGCCGATCTCCAAATATGTTTCCTTGGTGTAATTTCACACCCTGTTTGAAGAAATTAGTTCAAAATAACTCAGAATCCATTTTTGGTAAGCATGACATTTTGAATTTTCCGTGGGATCCACACTCGTGTCTCATTAAACATCCTGTCATCTCAGAAAAGGGTTCGGTATCCAGTCAAGGTCTCCATTAATACCAGGTCTACATCCAAATAGATATAAAAGAAGTTGATGAATAAACCAAACAAAAGCGGATGATCGGATGGACACTTAAATCCTGTGCACGGTGGTGGAGGGGAACATGGTTTTTTGTTGTCACAGGAACCAAAGTTTCCAGCGAGCGTGTTTCTTGGAGTCAGCTTTGGACTTGCGTTTTGGGGTGGAGGTGAAGGCCTCCTGAGGGTAAGGCAGGGGGGGAAAGTGGGTGTCCTCTGTTGGGAAAAGCCTCTTCATCAGTGGTTGTAGCTTGTCCTCCTGTTGTTTGAAATCCAGTTCAACACTGCAGCGAACAAAGAAAGAAAGGTGTTAGCTTAAATGACTGCCAGTTGCTGGCTTGCTATTAACAACATTGTCTCCAGGGCATTTAATTCCAATTTAAACAGTCATTTACATTGGGACGGACTGAAGTAGTGTAACTAAGATGAATCAAAATGGGACAATTATTTTTTGAGATTTCATCAACAAAGCATCCTGTGGGCTGAAGTGGATGGAGACCAGCTGAATACTTATTAGCACACAGTTATAAACCATGGCATAGGTAACATGTACATGTGGGAAGGCACCATAAAAGCTTGAAGGTTTGCAGCCCCACACATTCATATGTGTGAGTAGCTCAGCTACTCGGCTACTCAGTACATTACGGAGTTCTTCTATTAAGACAAACTATTATGAACGTATTAAATACAGTCCAGACATGTCCCTCATTGAGGACATTGCATGCATTAAGATGCAAAGACTATGAAAAGGGAGGCCTTGAAGTGCTGAGCAGCTGTAAGTGGATCAAGAAAGAATGGGGGGGAAAAATTAAAACGACATCAAATGCTTACAGAGTTTTAAAAAGAAGAGGTGATGAATTATCCAGCTTTTTTTTTTAAATGTGTCAAAGTAAAAGTGAGCATGTGTTTTTCAATATTAAAATAATCAGAAGAAATGATAAATAAAGGGTCTGATTTGTAGAAAGCTCCTTTTTGTGCCCATTTATGCCCGTTGCTTGATTCTGTTACTGTAGCCCAAATCTTCATTCTCTAGGACACATTTGCCAAATTAATCATAATGAATGAATTGCAGGGAAAGAATGATAAGTGTGGCAGTTTTATCATATTATCGTTGAAATGAATACCATGGAAATGGGATTTTATTACCCAAGTCGTATAGTTCATTTATTGTGTTCCGGTCTTTTTTTTCATTTCTTATAATTCATTAATATTTGAGTGCTGCCTTTTATTTAATGCCTTTTATTGTTTATATTCTTCTTTTATCATCTTTGAAACCAGGGTTGAGGTTTGCCCTTAGTGCTTCTTTTAATCTTGACATTTTTTGGCTGTCGCATTCCCCCGACAACCATATTAAGCATCAAAGTTATGGCCTGTACTCACTTGACCCCTGCGCAGGCATCTGTCACAGCACTGCTCAGCCTGGTAAAGCGACCTACATTTCCTGGTTGCTTCATCTTTATTTCCCAGTAAAACCTCCAAATTTAGACATTTCTTGATTGCATCTGGCTGCTCATTTTGGCCCACTGCTTTTTCTTTTTCTGTCTTTCTTTTGTTATTTGCCTTCTCATTGTGAATCATAGAGCGACAGGGAAGTCCATTAGTGTTTTTCCCACTCTCAGTTCAGTCTCTGGTGTTGATGTTGAACTGAAGATCATTTGTTTAGCTGGACCTCAGATGAGAGCCTTCGTATTGATGTGAGGATGTCACTTTGTTTTATGTCGCTTCAATCCATGCTCAGTATTACAATACCAGAAAAAAATAGTGCTTATAACGAATGCGTTAATTTTTTGTTTTTTTTCTTGTCCTTCTTGGTTCACTCTGTATTTACTCAGGGTTCAAGGGTATTTATCTGGACCAAGCGTCATTGTAATCCCATACTTGCAAACTGACTGCTAGGTGCTGCAAAGTGAAACTCAGATTACTTCCTCAGCTGTGCTTTATAATCTGCTAAAGCCTTCGTCAGCCACTACATAAGTCAGGCTGGTGGCAAATCTGATAGACAGACTTGCATAATAGCAGCAGGCTGCCTGCTCAGATTTAAGTACAATGCATCTGTTGGGATTTTAGACTTGAAGTGATACATAGTTAGATCATTATTAGTATTCAAGGGGAATTGCAATTGCACATTATTGTCCGTATAGACTCTGAAAGTGCAGTCAAATAGTAATAAGTTCTTAAATCAAGTCTCTGTAGTAAAGTGACATTTGTGGGGAGTTTTTTTATGAGGAGACATTCATGTGGAAATTTCTGACACATTTGAAAAAACAGTTAATCACCATTTAAACAATACATATATATCTATAGGCAATATATTTTAGCAAAAAAAGAGAAAAGAAAAAGCCTCTGTTATACAAAATGTAACATTTAACAATATTGAACATTTAAGCAAAACCTACTTTTAAAAAATGTAGTCATTTTGGGCCAATATGTGTTTGACATGATCTGAAAAAAGCTTTTGAGCAGAAAAACAGACAAGAACCGTTATGTGATCTGTGATTCCTGGTAGTACAAATGTTCTGGGTTGTGGTTATGAAAAGGAAATGAAGGTTAGTGGAATGGAGAAGTCAAAAAACAGCTAAAATTTCATGAACGTGTTATGGAGAGATTTGAAACAGATAAGAAAATTCTTGCACATTTTGCAAATACAGGAATTTGGAATGCAAGGATGGGAGATCTTTCAGCAGACTGATGTTTGACACTGGTGGACCGTAGTGCAGAATGCATTTAACTTCTGTCTGGTGTACTGTTTTCCAGACCTGCATCACATCTATTCAGTTCAATTTCAATTTTATTTGTATTGCACCAAACCACAACAACAGTCCCCTCAAGGCACTTTATATTGATATGCATTTTTTGAATGAAATATAAGAAAAAATCTTTCCTTAGCGTGCTCCTCAAGTTCACCAACTTTATCTGTCAACACAGTTTCACAGTTTCAATGAGGAATTTACTTGTCCACACAAAAGAGTCAAACATTTCCTTTGCATGTCATTACTTTCTCCAATAATTGCAAATATGAGCAACTCAAGTGAAGCAGACACTCAGAATTATATAATTCTTTGACTTTAGGCTTTTATATAAAAGGGAAAGCGCAGCCACTTTGATCAATAAATCACTGGCTGCTAATTACACTGGTAAAAATCTATATCTGTGTTTCTGTATGAAATTAGTGGAAGTTTGTGTGCACAAATGATTACATGTGGAAACAGTTCCGTGTTGCAAGCAAATGCACTGGGGATACGTTTAAAGAAGGAGCGCATATATTTAAAATCATTTAAACTGTCTTATGAACAAATTTACTCAAAAGGTCAGATCAATCCATGTTCGCAACCTTTGGATTTATTCAGATTTGTGCATAAACAGCTAAAAGGCGAGCGGAATCATTTGCAGTTCTTTGTTTTGCTCTGAGCCTTTATTGAAAAACACAAAACAAAAAGAAAGAAAAAAACGTGCAGGACCTGAACTAAATGTTTAGACCAGGACATAAAAAGACTGTTTCTTGTTTGGCTCACAATTACTTTTCGATGCTCAGATTTTATCCCTGAGGGATTTTATTCCTCTCTGTAAAATCTCCCAAAAGATTTTGTGCTTTGAACACATAGAAAAAGTACAACAGCACGTGCCTTGATATTATTTTAGCAAGATTACACCTGCACACATTGTTTGAACTTTTCCATGTCTGTCATACAGTCGGCCCAGAGCTTCAAAGTTGGCAGGTACCATTTAAAGAGTCCTCCTTCGAGGCCTCTTGGGCCTCAAATGGCTAGACCAGAGTAGATTTTAAAGTTTGCCAAGAATATTTCCTATATATGAATTTAAATGGTCATAACAGTTGTTTTATATTCATTCTGAAAAATTAGATTTTTATCCATTCATAAAAATAGTTCCCTACATTTGGGAACTACACATAGTTCCCAAATGTAGTTCACTTTGTCAAACTCTGACATGCATTTAAAACAAGATGCATAGGCCACTAAATTAACGGGCTCTTGCAGCTCAGATAGAAGTGGCATAGATGTAATAAACGTGGGGATGACACCGATGAAGCAAAATATTGAGCATTTCCCTGCATGCTTTGCATGTCTTTAAAAACCTTTAGTTATTGCTGCGATAAAGGCACAGCAAAACAGATCTCCTTGGAGGTTTAAGGGAAGGGGGTGCTCTAGCTCAATGCTGTGTCATTTTCTGAGGATAAGTTTCTCCTTCTACACATACACATAATCATGCACATACACACATATACAGCAGCAGTGATAGGATTTTCCTTGCTCTTCAGCGTAAGCCTCTAATACTGCTGAGGCGTTGTTGCTTCACATCCATGGCTACAGGTGATAGTCCTACATGGACATGTAGCCATTTAACCTGATTAAAATGCCGATTATTATGCTGTATTGTTGGTACAATAATAAGAGTTAATTAATGCTCTTTATGGACACTGTACATTACATGTTGCACAGATCAAGATACTTATGTGCAGCAATCTTTGCTTTGTACAGCTGTTTCCATCTGGTTAAAGGTTGTGCTTCTAAATTCTAAACTTTAACACATGTAAATTGTTAAAATAATCAATCAAGTAATCCATGAAAGCCAAATGCTCAGGTTTCAGATTTTTCTCTATTCTGGCTCTCTATGATGTCGTAGAACGGGGACGACCAGGTTGGGCAAGGTCATTTCAGCCCCACCACTCTGGCTGTAACCAGCCCCCTCTGAAAAACTATTCTTGTAGACCCCAAGAATAAAGAATCAAGTTGGAAATGACCATAATAAGTCAACCTTAAATTCCAGTTTCAGTCACATATTAAATAGTCTAAATGCAGACTATATCTAAAACGGCGGTCCCCAACCTTTTTTGCGCCACAGAACAGTTTAATGTCAGGCGGTATTTTCACGGACCGGCCTTTAAGGTGTCGCGGATAAATACAACAAAATAAACTGATACGACCAAGACAAAAACTGTGGTGTTTTGTAAATAAAATAGTAAACGTGAATTCACTGTGTAATTGTGTAACTTTATTAGCCGCGTCCTCCTGAAATGCGCCAACAACATTGTGAGTAACATCCTCCTCTCTGCCAATTAATGCTCTCTGTCGCTATGGTAACATGTAAATATTTAAAATTCATAACACACTGGAAAAGACCAAGGGAAACCGAGTAAATGATAAAAACCCTGAAAACCATAAATTTCACACACAAGCCTCAACTCTCGTGGCCCGGTACCAGACGACTAACGGAACAGTACCGGTCTGTTGTATAAGTTGACTTAAAACACTGATTGATTTAGCTT